TAAAATTAACCATTCTTTAAAACTGCACAAAGTTAATCACAGATAAAGCCCAGAAAGACAAGGGATTTTCTTTTTAGATTTCTCTTATGCTTATTAAAGATAATAATTCAGTAACTTTTTCACCTTAATTAGATGGGTTTCTTTTAAATAAATAGCTTATTTTCACATATCCTAGGGAATCAAGCTCCAAAAATTCCATAATACCTCTGTGTCATTTACCTTGTTACTACATAATTCTTGGTGAAATGCATGTCCAAAAATGTCCTATCAGTATATGTGATATCTGATAAAGTTACCAACTCGATTTCTCAATAATAGTAATATGAATAGAATGTGTTAATGCATTAAATAGTATTAGGCTCTACTATACATGAACTCTTACTTTATTCTAGGAAAGTTATGTCTCAGATTTTAAGAACATGATGTAAAGAAATATCCAAAATATATTTTGGGGCATAAACTATATCAAACCTGATTATATATTGTTCATGTGAATGGAAAGTATTGGCTAGCTAGTTTTTAGTTCAAAAAGAAATGTACAAGAATTAGTTTCTAACTGTGAAAACAAAGTTTATTGTATATTCATTCAGCCATTACGAATTTTCCATCACTGTTAATGCTCTGTTCTTTCTATCCTATGTGCTAAAATGTCTTTTTAACTTCAAAGATTATAGTCAATTGCAATAAGTCACCAAACTTTTAAGTTAACTTGCTTCTATATGTGTATGTATGGTTTGATTTTAAGTAATATATCCACCACATATGCCAACACATCCTGACTGAAACGTGATGTCTGACATTGTGATGTACGTGAGAGGGCACCTTAGAATTCATATTTTTCATACTTTTTTTTTTTTTGGTAAGCCACTATGTAGTCTGACTAAAAACAGCAGTAAAGGTTTTAAGCCTAGTTTTGTGTTGATACAAAAGATCCATTAGTCTTTTTTCCCAACCAATTTATATATGACCTATATAAAAGAAAACAAGGTAAATGGTGTATCTAGCTTGCGTTTGTATTTAAAGAAGAATTTCAGAAACATGCTAATCTTATAAACGAAAAAGTCTCTCATGGCAGCACACAGCACTCCCTTACAGTCTCAGGAATATATCTTCCTCTCCTAAAACAAGTGTAAACACTTGTTTTAAGGCAGTTTTCAAAACTTATGAGGAGATATTTAAGGAAACGAAGTGTTGAGGTTGGCTGGGGCTAGTGTTTGACAGTTTCTAGGGTCATGTTTTTAATATATTTAATATCAGAATGCTTCTGCTTTTAGGTTTCTCACCTTCTTTGACATTATATGAAGTATTGGCGGTATGGCTAGTTTATGTTGGTGTGGTGAAGAGAAAGAAGGTAAGAAAACAAACGTATATTTCTTTTGGATATTCTAAAGAAGAATTGTCTGCAGGTGTTGCCAGCATTCACAATAATAGTGCCACTATCTTCCTGGGGGTGTTACAGAAATATGTACATTTTCTGGGCATGGGAAGTTTGTCTGAGTTCTTTGCAAATTCAAGTCTAATCTGAGGTGGGAAAAGAATATCTAAAGTCTCCATTGAGGAACTATTTCTTATTTTTGCCTCATAGATTTGAAATAACCTTCTTCAGAGTATGCTGCATAGATGTTAATGGTTGTTGCTTGAATAGGAAATAGCTCCTAACTTTTCCTACTGTTGGCTGAAGCTCCCTACTGGGGATATTTTCATGTCTTTTCTGTGTCTGTGAAGGAACGCCAACTGAACTGGAGCATCTGGGCTGTTAGTCATTTCTGCTTTTGGTCATGTCTTTCAGTGATTGTAATAGATCAGTCTGGTATGTTTGTATTTATCTACTGTTCTTCATGATATAGAGTTTGAGCAAATATGAGACCAGGAGAGGGTATTTACTAGGAAAATAAAGAAAAGATCATAACCAGCAAAATCAATAACAGCCTACCCCAGGATATCTTCATTATGGGTGTATTGAGGACATATTTGTTTGGTTAAAAAAAACCCCAACAGAAACAGAGAAGGCAAAGGGTGAAAGGAAGAAGGCTCTATTGGGGTGGATGGTGGAGGGGGGCGGGGAAGAGAGAGAGAGAGAAATAGGTCTCATAGGTAACATTCTATAGAGAGATACTCAGAAACTTTATTGATCAGCCAACTACAACTGCCTGTGCTCTACCTTCTTTTTGTCTCTTAAAAATTTGGACTTAGTTTCTCTTTTATCTTTTAAAATTAAGAAAGTTAGACTAATAAAAGTTTAAATTAATGTGTACTTTAAAAGATCCTAGATATAGCATCTAACCGCATGTCTTAATACCTAGTAGGCTTTGTTGTATATGATTCAGAGATAAAAACAATATTAAAAAGAAATACATTAAAATTGTAAGTACATTATTATCTGATTATTTCCAAAGAAATAAATACAGAAGAAGTGCCTGTTCTGAAGCATACAAGTGAAAAACTTTTCTATTTAGGTTGTGTGTATATACTGTAAGGGTAGGTTTCTTTGTTCTTTAGGAGATAGTCCATTAATCTGAGAAAACATCTGAGCACTTTTTGGGATAAAATAAAATACATATTTTATAATAGCCTCATTAAAACAAAATTCCAAGAAGAAAAGGTATGGATAAAAATTCTTTTTTATCATCACTCACATTTCTGAAGTCATCCCTTCTTTTCACTTTAGTAATGTGTCAGTTCTATTTTTTTCTCATTACCATATATAACTGGCAAGAAATCAAGGTTCTCTTAACTAGGGCAAAAGTGTGGTAGAAGCAGCGGTAGACAGTTTTTTTTCCAAGTCTTTAAAACCTGTCATAACAGCATTTCATATTAAACTGACACCCAAATATTAAGTTCTAGAATGGGCAAAGGTGTAACAATATGCATTTTCCTATTTCGCTGTTTTATTTCCCACATCTGTGTTCGCACCGAGGACATTGTTCTTCCATGTGGACTGTGTGCTTTCTGAACCCAGTTGGTGCAGGTGCTGCCTCTGTGCGATGGACAGGTAACTGTTCCTGCGCTCACACTTTTTAACCAGTTCCTCTCTGTCCCTCATTATGAATCACTGAAGACGATTCTCCAGTGACATATTTTAAAAATCTACTTGAAAAATTCCAAAGATTTTTGAAGGGGCCACTGAGTTTAAAACATGTAGCTATCAGTTAACCATTGCTATTTATGTCTCTCCTGAGAACAGAAAGAAATGACTTTCTTTTCTTTGCTTGGGTATAATATCCACGGGTCTTGCTATCTTGTCTTTGGAAGATTTTGATCTTTCGTTCCAATGACTCCCAATAGAAAAGGCAATGACGCCTGGGGTACATGTGTTTTCCTAAGTCATCTGAAACTCTTTTGCTTGGAAGAGGCCTGTAGAAAAAATGTGGGTCTGGTCAATTTCATATAGATATTTTTAAATGGGAGAACTAATGGCAATATAACACCTTGTTTTTTGGAGAGATTATTTTGGAAGAGATGGAAAGATTAGGAATGTAAGAAGAAATGCTGGCTTTTGAGATTTTGCTGAATATATACCAGTATCCTTGTTGTTTTCAGTGAAACTATCACTGGGAGACTGTGTAATAAAACTGCACAATTTGACAGATTTAGACAGCTGGCTCCCTCACAAGAAGTTCACATTTTGGTAATGTCACCACGTTGAATAAGGGATGATTAGATGGTAAGGTCCGTTTACAAAAATGGTTGTCAGGACATTTTTTTTTTTTAATTGTAAAACTTTCTGTGATGGAATTCAGTAAAAGGGCTATGAAGAGAAAGCAGTGGAGACAAAAGACTGCTATTAACCTACAGATGAAGGCTACTGCAGGGTTCATTGCAAGATTTGTCACACTGTTGGTCCAATGAAGTGTTAGCGTGACTAGCAGGGACCACCCCTTTTCTGGGGTAAGAGGGCAATTTGGTCTCCATGCTCATTTAATCCTGAGACTTCTTTGAATAGACTGTCAATTGAATCTAAATTGTGCAAAATTATGCATGCACTTTTTAATGCAGGCTATTGTTCACTAAGCACTGAACCAAGATTTCTCAACCCATTTCCATTTGGCATGAGGTCACTTGAAACTTAAGTAATCATATATGGAAGACAAGAACAGTGTACTTAACCAATCTTTCCACATTGTGGCTTCTGTATAAACGCTCCCTGTGCTTTAATTGCAACTCTCCTGCTTTAAAACAATAGAGAAATACTGGTTACAAGATTTTGTCCTTTTTAATTGAGGTTCCTCTTCCTGAAAGTGAGGAGCAGGTTTGGAAAGCCAGTCTGTGCTGCTTGGTCTGTGCTGCTCTCTGACTTAGATTCTGGAGGAAAAGCTATTTACTGAAGGGCAACCTATAGAGGGGGTGCGTGTGTCACGATAGATGTTTTTTTCAGCAGTGCAAAGAGGTCTCATAATTTTGTTGTAATCCAGACACAGAGAGCTGGCCTTGAGAACCGTTAAGAAAAATGTCTATCAGACTTTCTGCAGTTGTAAGTTAGAACATAGCATTTCTTTCAAAACCTGAACAGAACACTTACAGAAATTTATTCATACATTCACCATGGAGGATTTTCAGTGAGTTCTGAAGGAACACATACATGAAAAGTCATATTTGGCAAGAATTATCATATTAAAAATTTGTACAAGGGACCACTTACATAGCCAAGATACGCTAAAAACGAGTGAGCTCTTGTCCAGTGGGGCTCGACTGAGTGGGCCATCGGAAAGGTTCTAGTCACAGACACTGATGGTTCTGCTACTGGGAAAAGCACGTGACCAAGGTTTAATGCTGGAATTTTATAAGGATTGGCTGTTCTCTTGCTTTTTCATCCGCCGTTAAGGATTACATGTTGGCACAAGGATACATTGCTAGATTAGATCCACAGCACATTTAAGACTGTTTGCTTTCTCACTCCCCTTCTTTCCAATTAAGTTGGTGAAAAATGTAACTTTAGTATTTTACAGGACAGGGTAAAGGTGTTTCATCTAGGTGATGTCTATATTATAAAAATAAAATAAAAAATATAAATATGTCATACAAACCCAGTGCCTATTGTTAAATAAAATATACAATAAAAGCAGACCCTTTAGGAAGATTGGTTTTAGAATATGCTGTTATGATTTAATTATAAAACACTTGAAAACAATCTTGATATTAAGCTAGAGTAACCAGATTTCTCTGCCAATAAAAAGGTAAGTGCATAACATTCTGTAATTGGATACAATGATAAAAATGAAGATTACAGTTTTATATCAAGTTGCCCATATAGAAATTCATCAGGGAGTTCTGAAACATTCTCACATTATAGTCCTTTAATATAAAAATATTGCCTTTTTTATTAGATCCATCAGATTGCACAGTAATGTTTCAAAACTCCATTAAAGTTGACTTTAGTTATTACAGACAGAAAATTCCTGGGAAGTCAAATAATCTCTTCTGGTGATATAAAAATTCCGTTATCAATTTACAATGGAATTTCTGTGTAAATTGCTCCACACAAGGAAATATATACTTTTAAAACCCATCTGTTATGCAACCACACGTACAGGGGTTGTGAGTGGGTGTGTGTACGTGCGCATGTGAACAAATGTGCCAACATACACACACGGAATCTGCACATTTCTGGAAACTATTTTTAAATTAATAAAAGAAAATGAAATCACAGGAGTGTGTAGCAGGATAACAGTCTTTCTTTTTAATGACAGGATAAAAAATAAATGCCCATTGGAAAGGAATATTCAAACAGTCCCAGAAACTATACAATGTAACTTGTTAGATCCAGCAAATAAGATGTCATGTCAATGATCTGATCAAGAATACCTGCCCTGGTCACTCTGCGGATGTTTCTGTCCACTTGTTCACACTGAGGACCAAGATACCCTTTTTTACAGAGGCACTTGTTGGGTCTGACACAGACACCTCCATGACGACATGCTGGCTCGCACTTTGCTGGAAGGGGGAAAAAAAAGCAATAAAATCACACTCACATTGTGTATGTCAGAAATGACACAAATATTTGATGAATAAGGGAAAGGAGGGAAAGAAGGCAGGAGCCAGTTGCAAAATTATCCAAAAGACCCTAAAGACAAGAAGGGAAGAATGCTCTCGGACCCAGTTCATGGGGGGCCGGACCTCAGCAGAGGATGGGAGACATTTCCAGAGCATAGGATCATGGGAAGCAATTTCAATCCCTTTCATAACTGACTCTTTAAAACGAGGATTTCAGTTCTTTCAAGTCTCGGCCCCACTGGGGCATTTCCAGCGCAGGGCCTCCCAGTAAAGCTCTGCGCCCGCACCTCCAGGGTTGGGCCTCGAGGCGAACAGGGCCTGGCCCAGGAGGGTGGCCCTGTGGCTTGAGCATCCCAAAGCAACAGAAAGGGACGGTTCGTTCTCGACTCTGGCTGGGTGGTGTGCCTGCCATTTGGACCCCCCCAGGACCCCTCCTCCTTGCTCCCAGGGGCCCCAGCCCCTGCTTCGCCTCCGTCCACTTGGAAGGTCCTTCCTGGTTCAGTGCAGGTGGGCAGCAAAGGATGTTCTTCACAGTCCGTGCCAGGGCTACTCTGCAGCACAGATTCTTCTCAGAGAAGGACTTTACCACTACAATACTGGTGGGCGTGCAAAGATTTACTGCCAAAATGGGATGGAGAGAGAAAACTGGGTCTATAACTTAACTGCCTGATAGGATAGATCTGGGCGTGTAGCCCTGTAGACAGAATCAAATTCCTTGAATACATTTCCTTATACGTTCAGTGGACAGGGTCATTTTAATCTTTGCAAGTGCATTAATCAAAATCCAAGGGAAGAACAAAAAGGAAATAGATTATTTTCCCTTTTAAATTTGTGGGAGATGAGTCAACTATGTGAGTATAGGAATAAAATTCTTGCTTGGGTCACAAATATCATGAATGATTTACTTTTATCAAATGGTTCGTGGTTTATCTTACATATTCAAATTATTTAAATTGATTTCATGGAAAGATTAAAGTACTCTATTGAAATAGAATTTTATGTTAACTCAGAATATCTGTGTTCATTTATATCACTTATTATTATTGTTAATATCTATTATGATGCATATATAATGCAAGCCATAGGCAAAATAATTTGTTTACCTTCAGTTTACACATACTGTTGCTAGAAAGCACTCAATACATATTTGTTATCTAGTAATTTGAGAAGTTAGGCAAAATGCAAAGTAAGGAAAAAGCAGGGTGGACACTTTGTAAAAGAAGCAGAGGGAAGAGATATTATCAGAATTTAGAATATTAATGCATTTAGACACTGATTCTCGTTTTTTTCTGAACTAAGGAAAAGGGAGACAGACTGGGTCAATAAAATGTGAGCATTTGTTTTAAGTAATGTAATTACTTAATTTCTCTCGGGTTTTAATCACAATAGCTCTTTGCTGGGTATGTAACCATAGTATTGCTCAATCATGTAATGTTATTAATGCTGAAGCAATTTAAGCTTAAAGTGCAGATTGTATATGTTGCTTTAAATGTTGGCTAATTTTTGTCATACCATATATAAAGTAGACAAGTTAAGGTTGTAATTTTTCTGAAACATACATGTTTAGGATTAAAAAAGAGAATATTTATGAATTAAGAATGGGGCTTTTAATTTTCATTGGCAAGACACCTTAATATTTGAAATAGCAGAGATCAAAATTTTTAGTAAGTAATATGTATATGCTGGTTGTTTCAATGCATTTTTTAATTCCTGTGGCAACCTTTTTTCCAGTTTTATTTGAGAATTGACATACATCACTGTACGAGTTTAAAGTTTACACCATGGCGCTTTGCTTTACCAGAACTGATTACTGCAATAGGTTTAGTTCACATCCATCACCTGATAGAGATACAATGAAAAGAAAGGGAAAAAAATACTCCAGAAAACGAATTTTCAATATACACATCTTCAACTCTAAGTGTCTAAATGTATGTAGATGTTTAAAAAAATTTCACACCGAGTAGAATTTGAACATCATTGCATGTCAATGAGGAAAACCCCAGTTAATCCTGGAAGAGAGGGGTCCTGCAGTGACTCTCCTTTGCTCTCTGAGCATCTGCATGTCTGGTTGACGATTCACGCGGGAGTGGCAAAAGGGATTTAAAAATCTCATCTATGCCTCTAGGTAACTGCGTTTCCCCTTTTTATTTAATAGCACCCACCAAAGAGCCCTGGTTTTAGTGCACTGTGGCCCGAAAGCAGGCAGTGAAGTTAGAGAGGCATTTGTGGGGTGTCTGAAGGACACAGACACTTGGGGAGTGCCCTTGGCCGGTGGGAGATCTCGGACTCAGGACTGAGAGCCTAGAGAGACGATCTGTTTTTAATCTTTACCTTTTGAAAGGATGCAATTATTTAAAAGTCTTTTATGTTTATGACTAATTTATGTATGTGAATCTTTTCCGTTAAGAAAATAGGAAAGATTTCATTTGCTACTTCAGGAGCAGACCGAGCATTGATATTATAGGGAATGATTGAATGTTGAATACTCAATAATTCTAGAAGAAATAACTTGGTGTTAAGTTCTTGAGTTCCTAAGGGCCATCCCATGCCCAGCCTTTCCTGGGGACAATGGAAATACTAACCGATCCTGCAGAAGTCCCCTTCCCATCCTGGGCTGCAGCAGCAGGTCCCCGTGGGGGTACAGTAGCCGTTGCGACAGAGCCGGGAGCACTCGGAGGCCAGCGTCTGGGCGGGCTGCACAGCCGCTCTGCACGCTTCGGGCACCAGAGGTCTGCAGCAGGAGACAGCGAGCGAGAGGGCCTTTGGTTAAAAGTTGACCTAGTGTTTTAGAACTGACAAAGCATATCTCTTGCTTTCTAAGCAGACCTTTCTTTTAAGTGACTCAAAAAGATTAGCTCCTTCCTTCCTTCCTTCCTTCCTTCCTTCCTTCCTTCCTTCCTTCCTTTCCTTCCTTCCTTCTTTCCTTCCTTCCATCTTTCTTTCTTTCTTTCTTTCACAACTTTCTAAGAATAGAAAATAAACTAGCCATTTTAAAGTAGACAGAACATGACAGACATCTTAAAAAACTTTATGCGTGATCAAAATTCACTGATTAAAAATGTAGTTGCATTGATAGTTTACATTTACTGGCTAAGAATTTCTAGCAATTACAGTTTTAAAAATAAAGATGTATAGATATTTTTAAAACTTTTCCCTCACATCTACACAAATTTTTAGGAATAGTATCTGAGATAGGTTTCACTTGTTAGTGACATATTTGGCAGTATCACATGGCTGAGGGTATTCATCAGAATGAACACTTGTAGCCTAAAAGGCTTGGGAATCCATTTTTGTTTCAGTTTTGCATTTGTTTTCAGATAACTATTCTTTAGACTGAGTTTTGCGAAGGGCTATCACACTGCATGTGTGAGTGTGTGTTCTATTGACCCAAGATTTCAACTTCTTATGCAAACAATGATGCATGTGTAGGTGAGTGTGTATATATACATTTAAAATTTTAAAATTTTGTCCTGCTATGAAGAAAAAGAACGCTATTGGTAGCAAAGAGAAACATCTTATCTGCCAAGTGAAAGTCATAGATTTTCTTTTAATTGCTCTCTAACTGCCATCACTTAGAGAGAGATCAAGATGCCTTCAGATTTTTATGGTTCTTGCCGTTTTTGAAAGAACAGGCTGCCTTTCATGCTGGGTTGGGCTGAAACCACAGGCACAATGAAAACTACTCACTATGTAATAACCTTTGGGAGAAAATGTGCGTTGGTACACTTCTCATCAGCCTGTTACCTGTGCCGCAGTGTGGTGGGCAAGGAATGTAAACAAACACATCCTCACCAGTCCAACAGCCGTCATTAGAATGGCCAGAGCAGCTGGATTCCTGAAGTACCATATCAAAGAAGGTGAGGATTATGGGTAAGAACCACCATAAGAGGTAACCAATGTAGCTTTCTGAGAGAAGAGCATGATTAGGCCCTTCAGACTCAGTCTTCCAGAGCTACGCTCCTACGGGGCACTGAGAACGGCAATAATAATTTGGGGGCTGACTTCCGGCTGTTTCTATCATGACTCAAAACCATATTAAAAATATATAGTGACTTCTTTGGCTTCTCTCTCCCATAAAAGTCCCAGTCTAAGTTGAAAGCACTATGTTTTACAACTAATGTGACATTTCAGAAAACCCCCATACATTCTATTCAACCTCTTATTTTAATCTAGAAATGGTCCATTTCTAGAAAGGTCCCTAAGGCATACCATGGCTGAGCGTATTTTTACCAAGAAAACACTGACGACAATTTCCCATCATTCCCCAAGGGAGTCTTTTTGGGAGTAAGGGCAGGGCGGGGTAGGGTGGAGAGGATGGTCAATGCTTGTGCCAAGCGGAGTGGGGGCTTGGCCTCGCCTTCTTCTCATTGTTCTTGCCCAGCCCAAGTCTGCTCTCTTTCTCTCTCATCTGAAATTCTCACTGGGTGAGATGGTGGTGGTGTTTTTGACCATCCAAGGAGACACTTGTCAGTAGCCATGAAGTTCTTGGGTCACAGGCTGTGATCATTTACCAAGTGTCATTCAGCAAATAGGTGTTGTTCAAACTTTACTGGTAACTGAAATTCTGTTTATCCAATTTCACTTGTTATTCATTCGTTTGCCCTTTTTCTGACTCATTCAAGAAAGGAGACCCAGAAAGAGTGTGGCAAAAATATATTCCATGTTCTATGGGATGCAAAATATGGAGGCACATAGGTCACGTGTACTCAACTATATGGTTTATGGCTGAGCAGATGAATCCAAAGAGAAGACCCCATGTAGATCAAGCATGTAGGTGGCTCCCATTAAAGGACCACAGCCAGAAGATGTTGCCTGTTGGAGGCAGAGTTTGGGGGCGCTGATTCACATGGGAAGTCACCGGGGAAAGGAAGTGAGGCCTGAGAACAGACATCCAGTGCTGAAGAGCAGCTCTGCAGGGTGGCTCTCTGATCCCTGTTTCCATCCAATCCTCCAATTAGATGCTTTGGCTGCTTTTCACCCAATGTTCATATACATGGAAATACAGATTATGGGTGGCATTCTAACTTATTTTCCTGCCTAAGATTTAGTAAATGCTTATCTACCTATGGATAAAGTTATTTCATATTTGGGCTTGTTTATGTTCGCTTATAGAAGATGGTGTGGCTGTCACATACAGTTTTTATTTAAATACCTAAGAAAATCATCTTTTTCTTCTTTTATGAAGTTGACAACTAACATTTCTTGCTTAGCATGTCTAATACATTTTCTCTTTCTCTTTTAAACTGTTATTCTATTGAGGATACTTTCACCTGAAAATTACATAAAACAGCCTGTTTCTAACAGGACTGCACTTCTCTTAAAGAATGGGTTACCCTCCCTTTTCCCTTCCCAATTGGAATGAAAGCTTTCTGAGGACAAAAACTACGTATTCAATCCTCTCCAAGTCCAGTCATTACTCAGGCAGGTACTGAGCTCCTCATGGGGATAAGACACAACCAAGAGAGAGCCCTGATCCTCATGGAGCCACCACGGGGAAGACAGACATGCAAACACACAAGTATAATTCAGTGTGACATCTGCTATGATACAGGTGCGAACGAAGTGACACAGGAATACAGGCGAGGGAGCAATTAGCTTGGGATTGAGGGATGTTATAGAAAGATGACATTTAAGCCACCACAGTATTTTATGTCCTTCATACACTTAGATTCATAGGAGCTAGGAAGGTACAATATAGGCACCCAATGAATTTTTGTTAAATTAAATTGAATGCATATGAAATTGAAATTGAAAGTAGAAACTTTCTCAAGTACTTTTTCTGGACTATAAACTACATGAAGATAATTTCCCAAATTTTGATGTTACACTTTTTGATTCATTTGTCAATGTTGACAAAAGCAAGTCATTTAAACAATAGATTTTTTTAACTCGACTAAAATGAATTAGTTAAAAAAATGATGCTAATATGCAGTTTTTTCTTTAGGACACCTTCCTCTAGAAAACATCTTTTTACAAACTTATGTGGCTGTTTTACACAAAATAAAATCTGCCTTTGTCTTTAGTACTGCAATATCTGATGATATGCTGCCTGGTAAGAGAAGTATAAGATAGTCAGAGGTCTGATACTATTATCTTCTGCTGTAGCCCCAGGCAGGGGAGAAACATGGGAATTCAAAGAAATGTTTTCAGAGTTTTCAACTCCTATCAAATGATTCTCATTTTGAAGAATATATTCTTCATTATTCATATTTTCCATTTTATGTCTTGCTAACAAATGCCATTTATATGTGGTAATTCAATCAAGCTTTCATAGCATCTGTACAATTACTCTAGGTACTGATATTCCAACATTTAAAATTGATAGTTTAAGAGAGACTATGATATATAGTGCAAAGCAGAAAACTCCTTTCAATGATATGGTCATATATCACATCTCTAGGAAGTAACATACATGTAAGAATTATATAACCATTTTAAAGTAACATGGTCATTTCAATCTTTTTTCTATAAATTACAATATTATACAATATTTTCTATTTATTTTGAAATAGGTGATGGTTCCACGTAAGATTGTATGGATTATATAAACATGGTTCATACATAAACACATACAAATCTTGGTAAAGTGTGAATAAAATTCCAGTTATACTCAGGCCCCTGCTATATATTATATATGCATGCTCATCCATTCATTAGAAATTTTCACTCCACCCTCATCCCATTTTTTATAATATATCTTTAAAATTTCAGGTGCTGTATGTACTACAGCCTAGAAAGGATTGGTTAGTTAAAAAGGTTTTGGGTACCACAACACCAACTATGGGATATTAAGAATAAATAGAACCTGGAAGATATATCCATTTTAAGTTACTGGCTATGTTGAAAAAATAATAGCAAAAATGTGGAACATGCTTCCTTGTCTTTTAGACTTCAAATCCACCATGCTGAATGGATTTTTATAGGGCATATGCTTGTTCATGACCTCTAGTGTTAAGAAATTCTGTCATGTTTGAAAACTAGTCCCTAGTGGAGCCTGTGTCCCTGTTAATAGCTAAGAGGTCAATGGAGCTGCTAAACAGTTTGTATTACTGTCAGGGTGGCCGTGAAAACACCGCCCGCAGCAAGAGGACTTGGCAGCTGGGTCAACAGGCACCGTGGGGATTTATCAACCTAGGGGGGCCACTTGCATAAAACTTTGACTGATGAATTGGGACAAGACTGGCTCATTGGGCTAAAGCCTCTCTCTATTATGCGTGACTTTCTTTGGGATGGCAGAGCTGCCTGCCTGCTCCCTGAGACACATGCAAAGGATAAACAACTGATTTCCTCTTACGGAGTGTTTTTTTTTTGTTTTGTTTTATTTTTTTAAAAAGCACTCTTCAGCATCCAGTATAATAAGGAGTAGGATGAAGATATTTTAAGAAAATAAACCAAGGGCAGCAAGTGGGGCCTGGGAGGGGAGCTGCAGGGAGGAGGCAGGAGGAGCAGTGTTTGATATGGGTCACACAGGAGTTGGAGGTACCACATGTCTGTAAAATGACCTCTCAAGCCTGGAATTTGCATTGTTAATTTATAGACCTCTTAAGGGACTGGTCTGTAAGGCTCGGTTGGGTAACAGATAAGCAGTAGGTTAAAACACAGCATGACTGCGTACACAGTAATTAAATCAATATGATTAAGAACAATTTTGTTGTACAAATTCCTGGAGAAATATTCTCGGAAACATTAAAAAAAAAAAAAAAAAAAAAAGAAAGTCATTTGGCTTAAGGTCATCTGAAACAAAAATGAAAGAATCTTTGTCAAAAGTGCAAAATAAAAAAGTGTTCTCTAACAATAAAGCTCGGAAAATTTGTAACTCTATTAGAATTCTTTAGTTTCTATCCCCCGAGGAGCGTCATTTGACCCTGAAACAATTTCATAAGCAGCAGGCATCCAATGCATGTCTTGGGTATTTGAAAACTAGGTATGAAGAGCTCTTTGTAGCTCCATGGATACTTTTACCCTAATTTTGGAACTAATACAACCTTAAATGTTGAGAGATCACCTGAAAATAATTCTTCATTGCATTCAATGAACACCAACCATACTAAAGAATTTAATATGTTTTAAACATATTATTTAAAGATCTTCATTGCACACTGCAGAAAGGAGGCAGGGCAGAATGATCATTGGTATCTTATCAGTGTGCAAAGGGACACACCATGGAATATCACTTAGTGCAGAGTCTCACTGAAGAAGATTCAGAGACGAGACCAATTGACTCCCAGTCCTACTAGGGTAGACTCACTCCTCCTCTTGACTAGTCTCGGGCCATGCTACCAAGGGAAACTAAAATGGCTGCCCAGTTCTCATGCTCACTGTATTGGAATTTGTTTTCTGGAACTGCTGGAGGAAAGAGCTCCCAGATTGGGCATGCAGAACCCACTACCAGAGAGCTTGGGGGACCCAGTGCGTTGGCCCAACAAGCGAGGTGATGGGTATGGACTCGGTCCTAACCTCACTTGGCATGAGATGTGACTGCTCCCCACCTCAGAAGACTCCCCTGGGGACTGTTCAATGTTCTAACCTGAAGACAGATTTTATTGCTTTTCTGCATTTTCCTTAAATAACTCCAGAATCCTAGGTAAGCCTTAGAGAAATCTGGTTGTATTCTCATTGGATTTTCTTTCTTTTTTTTTTTCCACTTTAAATAATGGCATTTGATTTTTATAAGAGGTTATCTGGCCATCCTTTTCTGAGAAGGAGGCCCACTGTAGAAGAGTGTACACTTACGTAAATGGTTATGTAACATGTAGCCTCAGACCACATTGTCTTCATAGCCTTAGGTGGTAACTCTAAAACCTTGCCTGCTTTTGCCAAAGTGACTTAAGAACATTGCATATGGTTTACAAACTCCCTCACCTTTCTTAAATGGGAGGGACTGGTATGTGTATGTAGGGAAAACTAGAAACAACAAATCCTACGGTAAGAAAGTAACTTCTATGACATGTAATATAGAATATAAAAAATCTATAATTTGTTGTTCTTTTCCTCCAGCGCCAGGAGTCAATTGATGTTTGTAAGTTATTCTGAAAACAATGTTCTAACAAATCTGGCTCCTCCACAAGAATACAATTAACCTAAAATTTTAATATGAGATAAATTTTTCATATAACAAGAAACGTCTATGTATTGTTTTCTCAGTTGATGAGGCTCTCTCTTTAATTTCTCCCTCAAAAGTTTTAGAAAAACACTTTGCTTCCACACAGACATCCTGAACACTGTGAGGCTGGTAATTAGCTTGTGTTTTCAAAATAATCCCGCTCGCACACACTACAGTGTGTACTTACATAGCAATTCAACTCATCTAGGCAGAAATACTGTAATAATAAACGTTGGCGTCCAAATCAAAACAACATGAGGCTCCCAACAAATGTTTATGAAAACATTTGTTTTCTTACAGTCAGTTTAATTTTGAAATTTATGCCTATGCCTGCATACAAGGACGGTGTCTTTGGGACTCTCTTACTCCCCCACCTTCCGAAAACCAAACACACGTCTTAACCCTGGCCCACACATGACACGACTCACCAGAAACAGGCACCGTAATGAGAAGTCGGCCTTTCAGGTATGTCATTCTGAGACCACCCTACTAGAGGAGGCCCTGAGATCACAAAGCCAAGGTCCCTGATGGCAACCCTGGTAATTAGACCCTAATAATGGGTTGAAGGTGTAAAATTCACCTCAGTGCACCACCAACAGACTAAACAATCCAGATGAAGAGAGAGAGAGAGAGTTTCGTGAGGAGGAGGGAGAATTAATTATACCACTACCAGGAAGCTTGCAAAAGCAAATCAGCTTTGACAAACGTAATGGAAGAACAATGGCTATTTTGAGACTAATGGCATTCCATCGGAGCGAACCCCACAGGCCTCGTCGTGAATCATTAGAATGCTGAAATTTTTATGCATTAGCATTAGTTTGAATTTTGTTCTTCATATTGCCAACGTCAACCATCACAGAGGTGTCTGGTATTTTTTTCATTCATCACTTTGCTTTTCACAAAGAGAACATTGGTCTCACACTCAAGGAGGAAAAGAGCCCTTGGAGGGCATAGACCGGCACTCTTCTTACTGTGAGTGAAAACGTGTGCCGTTGGAGAAGGAACGCTGTCCCTGGGTGATCGGTGCCTGCCCGTGACGCTGTGGAGAGACTATTCAGAATTGAGCAGTCTTCTTTTTGTTCCGCAGCAACAATGGCAACCTCTATTTTACTCAGAAGAGATAACATTTTGTGATATGGTAAAAGGACAAGAATCTCCGTTTTGTTAGCTGGTGACTTCTTCAGAACATACACAATTTACAACTTGCAAATAATTTAAGAACAGAGCTAAATTATTGCTCTTAATAAACTTTCCAGATGGCTAGAATTTATTCTTCTGAAAGACTTGAAGTTCAGAAATTTAAATTTGCAATTAGGCTTATGAAGATAAGTTAGTATAGAACTAATCTGAAATTCTCAGCATGGTGTAGCTGGATTCTGACAACTACTCGTGTTCAACAATAGTCGTCTTTGTGAGGACACTTAAGCTCTATAATAGTTGTTCCTAAACTTGTGACAAATATCTGTTTGGCAGTACATAATTTTAGCGGCTTTTGATGGTCCGGTTTTATCCATGAAATTAACAACTGACTAATTATGATTCAAGATAATTTGAACATTGTGTGTGTGTGATGCGTAGGTGTAGAAGCCAAGGGAGGGATAAATATACTCTTTAAAGGATTATAACATTAAAGTCTTCCTTTTGCTGAGGTATATAACAAACACTTTTTCAGTTTCCATTTGTTTCGTCACAGAAACCTGCATGTGAGCTGTGACCTTCCAGATAGTTTTGAAATGAGGCTCAGATGTTGAACTGCCAAAATAACTTATCCTGATTGCCTAACAAAAATCATACTAAGCAGCTGTAGCTTCTGCCAGCATGTTTCTAGTTTTCTCAAAAGACAAGGAAGGTTTATTGTTTCTCTTAGGAGAGCTGAAGCCACTTCACATATCTGGGTCCTCCTCTGCAGTTAACTGAGTGAACACTCATTCCACAAACATAATGCTGCTCCCTGATGACAACAAGAATGACATGAATATGTGACTTCACTTAGACACGTAAGCTTCGGCATAGTCCAGTCTAACCCTCATAGACTGGGCTCGGGGGTACTCTCATGACAGTATGTAGCATGCAGACAGGGCAGAAGCATTCATCTTTCTTGATTGTTAATTGCAATTTGTCTATCAATAATTTGAATGCATGAAATAATGTGGAGAATAACATTTCTTGACTTAAATGAATATTAAAAAAGTCTCACCTTTTGGGATCTACAATTTTGTAGAGTTTTCCATTGTGAGTCTGGGTCATACTTTTACTACTTGATAGAATATAAACTTCCCCTATGTAGAGAGAAATACAGCAAGTTAATCCACAGTATTACAAGGCTTTCCTTCATGTTCCCTTGCAGGTGTTTTACTTTTTAAGATGTTGTTTATTTATTTTTAGAGAGAGGGAAAGCGGGGGCAGAAAGGGAGGGATGGAAAGATCGATTGGGGACCTGGCCTGCAACACAGGCATGTGCCCAGAATGGGAATCAAACCAGTGACCTTTTGGTTCGCAGGCCAGCACTCAATCTACTGAGCCACAGCAGCCAGGGCAGATACTTCATATATACAGTATATGTATTTTATATATGTATGTGTGTATACACACCCCACCTCAGGAATATCACTTGCCTAAGACTATGACAGTTTCACACGTCCACCTTCACAGTGCACCCAGATTTCGCTCACTTCTCTCCGCATCCCACTGCTCTTCCAGGACAAGCAGACACTAACTTCTCGCCTGGATTATGACAACAGCCTCCTAGCTGAGCTCCCTGCTTCTATCCTTATCCTTCTATGTTTTCTCTCAATATACCAGCTGCAGTGATTCTTGTAAAGCAAGTTAGACCCTCTGAGTTGGATCACGCTCTTGTCCTGATACCCTCTGGTGGCTTCTGCTCTCTCTTAGAACAAGGGTAAGTGCTGACAGTGGCCTACACTGTCCCCCCTTGTTGCTCTGATTTCATTTGTGATGTGTGACTCCCTTGTTCACTCCTTTCTAGCCTTGAAGACCTCTTGGCTTTGAACACATGAGGCAGGCTCCTGTCCCGGGCTTCTGCCTCACTCAGGTCCTGCTCTCTGTAGATTACCAGTAGGCTCACCTTCCCTCCTCCTTCAAGTCTGTGCTTCCATATCACCTTTCTTGACTGCACTATTGAAAAATTGCACTATCCCAACCTTTAGCAAACTCTATCCCTCTTCACAATTAGATTTGTCTCCTAAGCACTTACCACCAATTAGCATACAGTATATTTTTTAAAAACTATTATTTTTAATATCTTCCTTTAGAATACAAATTTTATGACAACAGTTTAGAAGTTTTTTTTAAAATTTGCTGCAGGATCTGTAATACCTAGAACAGAGCTTTGCACAGAATAGAAGTAAGTATTTGTAAAAAGAGTGTTGAATGGCAAGTTTTATTTTGATTTCTTCTGCCCAAGATTGAAAGGTTTGGTGACCATGTTGTCATTGTTAATTGATAATTTGGGGCCAGATGGAATTGGGGTACTTCTTTTTAATGTTCAGCTTTTTAAAACAAAATAAATAAAAATGAAAATCTGCAAATAGAGAGGGAGAGAGGCCCTCATGCTCAAGCCCCACCCTAAGTCTTGGTGCTGGGCTGGGTTCGCAGTGGTGAAACATCACAGACGGAGGCCCTGTCAGGAGAGAGCCTCTCTTGTGTACCTCCAGTGCTATCGTCTAATCCAGGTTTCAGAGTGGATCACATGAACAGGGAATTAGAGGCTGTACTTACAATTACATGTTTATAGGGCTTTAAAATTTGTATTTGGTTCTCATTCATGAAATAGTTTTGATTTAGTCAATACCTCTCTATTCCACTCTATTATTGTGTATCAAGTGAACCCGATTACTTCCGTACTCCTGAAAAGGATGTATGTGCTTTACACTAAAAACACGGACTCAACATAGAAAGTAAAAATGAAGATAAAAAGCAAAGGAATGTAAGTGACAAATTAATATTTATTTTATCAAGTACTTTAGATAGTTTACCTCATTTGATCCTTTCAACAAACGCATCCTGATTTAACAGTTAAAAAAACACATAGAAAAAACAGACTGTCATTTTTGAAACTTTTGGTTTCAAAAAATGCAAAAATTTACTAATTTTCTGAAATGGTTCTTAATTAAGTCCAGTTTCATATTAAAGCATAATTCAGTGAAAGTATATTTGATTACAAAGTATATATGATGTGGTGACTTTTGGACAGCAAGGATTGCATGTCCTTCATTTGTTGGTTCTGTTCCCAACACAGTATTAAGTGGAGACAGACACCTGGTTATTTGAGCCAATGAAGTGAATAGGGTGATGGATGGTGAACCGTGTGTACTAAGGACTGGGGACATCTAAATGACTCAGCATCTAAATATTTGTCTCTAACTCTGCCACAAACAATTTAATCCTAATTTGTATTTTAAAACAAGAGTATGTCCATGAAATTTAAATTACATTGCAGAGGATTTATGTAAGAGGGGAATCTTTCTGGTTCCTATGAGTGGGGTAGGAGAATATTATGGGAAAATTAATTGTAAAGTGCTTTCAAAATGCTGAAACAGGAAAAGGACAGATTGGGTTTCTCTTCTTTGAATGACTATATTCCTGTGGCTCTGAAAAACGTGATATGCGTTTCAGGAATCTTGTCTGAGTTCCTCGTTAACCTAAGTAAATGGCATGGAACTATTTCTGACAAATCCTCCGTTTACTATAGGAAAACCAAATCTGCACTTTTAGAGAAAATACTCTGATTCAGATGGGAAACACAACTCTTTCTCAATACTGAGAAATTCATCTCTGATGTTAAAGGAGCATAGTAGTCATGTTTGTTTGTAGGGAGTCATTGTTTGTTTAAAGGGAGTCATTATGAAAATGACATTTATCTCTGAAGTTTTAAAATTAGTAGCATTTCCACTCTTTGATCACATTCCAATTTCAACTTCTCTTTGCAGACATTTTGATAACATCCCAACAAATAAATTGTATGTTATCCTGTAGATCATCAATGAAGAGATAACTTCTACTCCCTTGGAAAGCAGATCTACAGATTATTTTGTATAAATTTCACACCCAGATGGACAAAAAAATAAAAATAAAAAATTAGGAAACAGAGAATAAGGTGAAATTCAGATTGTGTCAAATTTTTAATTTATTTCAAGAGACGTGGATAAATGGAAAGGTTTTCATATAGAGAATATAAACAAATGACTCAGATGCATCAAAAAAAAAATACATCAATAGACACTTAAAATTTTCCCTCTCTTCAGGACTCAAACCTTATCTTTTCATTCCTGCCTCTCATTTTCCTGCATTGGTTAGTTTCATATTTCAGGAGTGGAAATAAGACGTAAAGACCTTCTCACCCCCACCCTAAGACAGGTTATTGAGAGAAAACACAAAACTGGACCATCTGAAATCTCTACAGTAGGCTATCTTTGCTGTTACATTTCCAGCAAATGGAAGATGAGAGGGTTAGGTTTACTCTTCCAAACAGAACACCACTTCTCCAGCAAGGGAGTGAAAAAGAGACTTGATAGGAACAGTCTGTACAGTACCTAATTCGTCTTCTCCAAATCCCAGTACGTGACCCGAAAAGTATCCTCGACAGGAAGCACCGTTGCCGAGACAGAGTGGTTTCTCTTGCCATTGCCTGGTCACGGGACTTTGCTGCAAAGTTAAGAAATTCCTACAACACAAACATACCATAAACCTACATGACTTTGCTTAAAAAGAGAAAACACAACGATCAATACATAATTGTCGTGCCATAGGCCTGGCTTCTAAAGGGAAAAATAGTATATAGCCCATAACATGTGTGAATACTGTGAAATTCCCATGTGGGGAGAAAGTATGTGAAGATGAGATTTTGGTGGCGGGGGCACTAAAAGTACCTGAGTCTGAGAAAAGCCCTCCCCTTCGTCCAGAGAATGATACTTCCTCTCCAGGACTAGACTCCATGCTGCGCTATTAATCAGAGAGAGGGACAGGAGAAGACCGTGGGGTAAGTACACTTTTCTAGCTCCTCGTAGCCACCAAGCAGCTCAGCTCTGCCATGGGCCCGAATGCAGCGACTTGGGAAACAAGATCCTTAATTGGGGTTTCATCCCAGAATTTCTTAAAATTATCCACAAGGCAACCTCTAGAATTTAGGCTAAAATTGAATTTTGGAGTATTGCTACTTATAGGCAAAAATTAACTTGCCAAAAGTCCTGGAAGGCAGAAGCAAAAATTCTCAGCCTTCCAAGATAACCTTTAAAATATTTATAAATTCGTGTAAAACAGTAGTTTTCAAATTATTCATTATCATGGTAAACTTATGGTAAGGAAGGGAAGAGCCTAAATAATGTAAGTCCTTCTGAAACCTCCTTTGCACTTAACAAAATTAATTCATGAACTTGATCAAGTCTGTTTAAAGAGCATCTCTTAGACAGTCCTTGAAACCACCATATGTAGTGGAAGTAAAAATAAATAATATTTACACGAGTCCCGGAGCTGACTCCCAAAGGGAGACACATTCACTGGAATATTTTATGGCAGTCTAATCAATGGGTAGGTCATCTGATATATCAAACTGTGGGCTCAGGGCACCTACCCGTCACGGTCTCCAAACACGTAGCTCCCGTACAGCCTTTCCGACTGGCACCCTCGGTAAACAAACCCGCCAACCAGAGGGCCGTTACTGAAGGGCTTGAATTCTAAAAGCGACGGCTCGCTTTCTAGAAAGAAATAAACAGTAGCATTAGATAAAAGGAAACATATTTTTATAAAGAAAAAGTAATGGAGGCCACGCAACAACTATTCCCGTCATTTACTTTCACTCTGAAGTGTGTTCCATGGTGCACAAAGTGGAGCCTTGCTATAGATATTTACTGAAAATAGTTACTCCTTTTGCCTAAATGGCGTAAGATTTAAAGGGCCTCCATGTACAGCTAAATGAAATGAGAATGCTCTGAAATGCTTGCTGTTATTATTACTGCCAAGATATACAACTTTTCAGTGAGATCCAAATCTGGACTTTTTGGAAATTGCGGTTATTTACTTTAGAACCAAAATACTTAAAATACTACTTCATTTTTTAATATTGAATTTTTTGTAGGACTGCTTCTACACATATTTAATAAACTGAGCCAGACATCTAGTAAGTTATATAAAATGTTTAAAAGCCCGCACTTCAATGAAAATAAAAATACAGTACATAAAAGATCTTTAAAACTGCATTGTCCATTTATGACATTGTCACTTAAGTCAAGTAATATCTTCATTCAGAATATTGTAATAGTTTTGCTGATAGAGTTGTGTGGTTAACAAAGGCCGCAGCAATCATTCCTTCTTAACCCCATGTGCACGGACCTGGAACCCAATCTTTCCACGCATGTCATTATACACTTGAACACATGTATGCTAATTGCAATGGAAAAGAGCTAAAGCCAGGTGCAAATAAATCTGAGAAGTTCTCATTACCTATTAAGCACATTATGTGCTTAATATCAATAAGTCCCTATCAATAGACAGTATTTTAGGCACATACTTTTGTGGAAAGACGGTAATTTTAAAGTCCTCCCCATGTGATTATGGTGAATATATTATAAAAAGTAGAAAAGATAGGTTTTAAATAGCCAGTACACTGGGAGGTAGAATAATCAAATGCTTGAGGACATAAACTCTGGGGTCAGACTGCCGGGTTCAAATCCAGGCCCTGCCACTTTATATTGTGTGACGGTTCACCTTCGGGTGTCTCGGTTTCCTCGTCTGGACAGTGGGGCCCACAACAGTGCCTACCACGGAGGGTGACTGAAATGAGTCAAGTTTATAAGGTGCTTACTGCCGGGGCTGACATGTGGTGAGCGCTGTGAACGTGGTTATTTGGTTTTTCTTTTCTTTCTTTTAGTTTTATTGAGGTATAATTGACAAATAAAGTTGAAAGACATTTAAAGTGTACATCATGGTGCCTTGATGTGTGTATATACACTGTGAAAGGATTCTGTGGAGGCATTTTTAAAACACCAATGCAGGGCTGCCAATATTGTAACCAGTTTCAGCTGAACCCCAATTAATGTGCTTCTAGAATTTAGCTTAATCTACAAACATAGCTGGAACTCCATCAAGCTAGTGACTCATTAGATTTTTTTGCAAACCACGTTATTCTTTGGTTTGGCTTTTGTAAGATGCACACACACATATATAAATACCTGGAAAAAAAGTAAAATAACTGAATACCACATGAATGAACACAGCTGCTTCATTTCTGGTACTAAATAAATATCTGTATTGAATGAGTAAATAGAAGAAGCAATCGATTCAATAATCTTAATCTACTATGTTCCCTGAATCATAATGTTTGATATATTGCTTCCTCCAAAAGGAATAAATACTAAAACACTGAAAAATGTTAAGTATCTTTGACTTCATATTATCCAACTTTCTTTTTTATATGTCTCTAAATAGTAGTCATGTTATTAAAAATGTCTTAACATCCCATTTCCATGACCTGGGTAAGTAACATGTTTTTATAAGGCTATTACTTTGTTTTCTCTAAAATAAACACATTTAAAAAATTAAATTCTTATTTGAGACACTTATCATATTCCTAATTACTAAGACTAGCATGCTGGTTATTGAAATATTTCTTACCTTTAACACTTGTTTTTTTCCTCTGTATATAAGATGTTAAGACAAGTTCTCCCTTATATATTAAATAAATAGAAGTTATTCATCTCGATTCTCAGATGAGCAAAATATAAACCGCTAACTTTTGAGGGTCCATTAAATTTTTCGGACCTACAGAGCACCATTCAATCCGTGGGAAAGGCAGTGACCCAAATGGAACCCCGAGGGCTTGTAAGAGTCACCGGGCCTTTAGAAAGCGAACTGCTCGCCTCCCTCGCCACTGTTAGGCCAGTGTTTTCGTGCTTTCCCAATGCTCATCTTGCAGAAATCCTTTTCTCTTCAATTAACGTACTAAAATAAGATAAAAACCCAAACTAAGGCAAAATCAACAAACGATGCTCTACTCACCATAATCTTTCCCCTTTATTATCTGTAGAATTCTGGCTGATGATCTGTTCTTCCCATTGGAGTCTGAACAAAGTATTGTTAAATTGATGTTTATGTCAGTGGGATGTCGATCCACAGCACATCTGTGTAATCAAAAGGGACACCCATGAATCCCTACACGTGTCTTCCAAGCTCTGCCTGGAGAGCCCTGACGTAGGAACCCTTGTGGGCTGGCAAGGCCCCTTTGGGCTGTTGAGCTTGGATCCTTTAGAAAAGACTGAAGGAAACATCCTGATGTGTTTGTTTACTCTCCTGGAGCTTCATGATATCTAGAGAATGTTTCTTAAATTCCCTTGGTATCTCCCTCCATTGTGAATGTGTGCCCTGACTTAAAACACTTGTTAGTCTGTCATTAAGGAATATCACATGATACAAAACTGCTGAAGTGTAAGAATAACAATCAGTAGCTGCATCTACCAACATTTGCGACAGACAATATAAAATTAGTTATAGTTTTTGTTTTGTGTGTCTTCCTTGGAATTGCTACATTCTCAGACTCAGGCTGCTCTGACAAAGGGAAGCGTGCACTCCAATTTAGGGAATAAAATAAGTTGGGTCCCACAACCATTGAGGTCTTATGGTTGACTTTTGTCTTCATATTCTGGACCAGGATTTATCTATGACTTAAGTTATTGACCATAAACTCCATGAGGACAGGAGCCACTTCCAACTTCTTTGTCTCTGCATGACCTACCTGAAACCTGGGAATTGAAAAAGAGCTCACTATTTGCTCAGCATTTAAGTCAATGAGGGGCTAGCCGTGTGGGGTCTGGATTGGGGGAAGAATAAAGTTGAACACCGCGTGAACCCTAATGTAAACTGTGGACTTGGAGTGACTATGATGAGTCGATGTAGCTTCATCAGTTGTCACAAATGGACCGCTCTGGTGGGGGAGAGCAGTAGCGGGGGAGGCTGTGCCTGTGTGGCAGCAGCGGGTATATGGGAGACCTTCGGACCTTCCACTCATCTTTCTTGTGATCTTAAAAGTGCTTTAAAAAAATTAGTTTTATGAAAAGGTGGGGGGCCCCATACCAGCTCCCTGGGAGCACTCCTGAGAGGCATAGCAAGATGGTGAGCATAAGATACGTAGCTCAGGCCTGAGCACCAAGGTGCTTCATAAAAGTCAGCTTTATGTTTAGCCAATAATTATTTTAGTTCCCCTTCTGCTTTATTAAGTCTTCCTCTGTTTAAAAGAATCTTGGAGGGAGGCATGACTGTGCCTTCAGCTGTTTGCCAGCAGGGGAGGCGGGACTCCCCAGCCCAGGGCGTCTGGGGGCAGGTAGGTCTGTGAAGCGCCTCACCCTGTGCTTTTACCCTGAAGGGCCAGCCCCCCGCCCCCCACCACCCGCCCCGGGGAAGCTGCACGAAGCACCAGTGGGATGTGATGACTCAGGCTGCTTGACTTCAAAGCGCTGCTTTGTGGTGGCATCTGTGAGCCCTGAGCTATAGGAATGGAATGTGACAGTTTCCTCTACATCCTGAACCTACCTTAACTATTCCCTGTCGCCCAGATTTTAAGATCTGCTGAGATGCCAAAGAGGAAATGAAGTGTAGACTTGGACTTTGATGGAGGGGAGATGAAGGGCATGAGGGATTATAAAAATAAAAAGTTCGAAAAATACTCACCTTGCACACAGTGAACACTCAATAAACATTAAATAGCAATAATACTTTAGCTAGTAAATGAACGAATGTGGCCAGATAGCCCTCAGACTGCGGCTTGGGCGAAGCTTGCAGGACAGAACTGCTGGGTTAGACTTCACAGCTTTTTAAAGTGCCCCCCAAACCATTCACTTTATATCCTCCTTAGTGTTCCTTTCTGTGTGGTTCACTATAGTGAGTAGTCAACAGTTCATGGAGAAATCCTTCAGTATTTTTTTTAATGAAAAGAATGTCAACATTTAGTCAATTCCTTACGAATTAATATCAGATCATCATATAAGTGAAGCTATGATAATAAAAGCTATAATTTATTTAAAATCAGGTGTGTCAGGCAGGCCATTTCATGCTTTACTCATTGATACGTTTAAAATCATTACAGCATCCTTGCAACGTAGCTCTCACTGCCCCCAATTAATGAGTAAGGAAAGTATCGTTTACGTGGATGGAAGGAGACAAAAGGTTTATTATGCCTCTCCTTATTCAGATTGAAGTCTGGCCCAACAGTGTTTCTCTAATAACAGCCCTCCAAACTCGAAGACGAGTTTTCTCCATGAATGTGTCCTTTTCCCCCCATCTGATCTGCCATCTGAACCTGCTTCGGGCATGAAGAGAAGACAGGGCCAATCACTGGCTCCGGTGATGAGCCCGTGTGATTTCAGAGGCTCGGCCTCGCCGCCCTCCTGCCTGCCCTGGGCCGGGACGCCGTTCCTCTCCCGGTCCCTGCACCCCGGCGGGTGTTCTCACCTGCCTGGATCGTGGAGGCCGTGGGCGAACACTTCGGGGGGCTGGTTGGTGCTATTGAAGTGCGGGTTGCTCCTTGGGATGGAGTAAGGCACGTTGCACATGTCTGTGTCCACATCCAGCCGGAGGACGGAACCTGTGAAGTCACTGAGAAATTGGAGGACGACGTTAAGTACTTTCGTTTTTGTCACATAATTTCACCTAAACCGAACGCAGAGAGACTGCTGCAGATCATCTCCCTATCTGAGACACAATTCGTTATTCAAGCTCCAGATTCCAGGCGGCGCCGCAGCAGGCGCGCAGGGAGCTTGCAAAGGACGCAACGCTGCTGGCTTCCCAGGGCTGTGCGCACGTGAGCCGCCGGCAGTAACTCGGTCTGGGCGCCTCGAATTAGCGCCTTGCAGACACAGGACATCGCGTGCCCCCGGATGCCTGCCCTTCACGGTATAAACGCAGACACTGAGGCCCAAGGCGAGGCATTTAACCAAGGTGATGCAACTACAAGGCTGCTCTCCACTCCCTGGCTCCGCCCTCCCTCCTGGCCCTCAAGGCATTTTACCACCATCAAGTGGAACCTGCTCTCTGTTTTCTGTTTTTCACCTTAACCCATCCATTTCTTCCATGTCATCCAGCGTGATCATCCCGTCGCCGAGGATGATGTAAAGAAAGCCGTCGGGGCCGAACAGCAGCTGTCCTCCCAGGTGCTTTCTGTGGAGCTCTGCCACTTCCAGAAATACCCTGGCGGTTCTCGGGTCCACCTGATGGGGGGTTTTCCTACAGCGCGGGGAGGAAACAACAGCGCAACTGTTAGAGCCGTAAGGTGAATCCGCTGACAAGCAAAGAGCGCACACCCCGGGAAGCGCGCACCTGGCCTGTAAATAGGAAACACATACTTGAAGTGGGGCTAATAAAAGTTACCCCAAAATGACGTTATTTTCCAAGTTTCAGAAGTAGCATTGAAGCTGAAAGGTAATTGAGGAAAAGTGCCAAAGCGATCATTTTTCTCATTTCTCTTTCAGGGCACACATGGGGTTTTAAGCAAGAGGGAGATTATGGGTTTAATTATTGCCACCGTATGGCTATCTATTTATAATTTCCAAACCAAAAAAAATGATGAAGAGATATAGAGAAAATAAGATTTAAAAACATTTGTGCCTGCCTGCGTTTCAGGGATACCTGGATACTGTGTATTCCACAACTCGAAGAATGTGGTCATGAGGCCCGATAGCCCACCGCTCTTGGTTGGTGGTATAAGACACATACAGCTTTCCGTTTTTCTTGTAATTGGGGTGGAATGCAAGGCTTAGCAGTCCTCTTTCATCTCCTCCCTGCAGTCAAATGAAAAACACAAAGAATCGCGAAGTTAATTATGTTCTTTATTGTGTTTCAACTGGAACCCCAAAAGAGTCTCTTTCTTTCTTCTGTATAATCTTTGCCCAAACTCTTTTCTTTTCTTCCTCGCCTACTGCACAAAAAAGGATTATAAAACATTTCACTTTGCGGAGCTCTTTAAGGGTTAGGACAAGCCAGTTGTCTTGGGTGGTTATCTATGCACAAGACCCTTATGCTACTTTTGTCAAGTGATTTGTGTACGTAATCTTGGGAAGCTAGGACAACAAGTTTAAGTGCTGGGAAGAATTCTCTGCTGGGTTACTAGGTTGCTTGTAGTCCATGGAAGACAAATAAAAAGGTTCATAATCAGCAGTCACTTCTAATCCAAGTTCTAAAACCTAAAACACAGTGTGGGCTGCCAACTCCCACTGTCTTGGCATTATGTTTAGAAAACAGTTAAATTGCTTGTGTAATATGTAAACCTTTGTTTTACCCTGGAGGCATCTCCATCAGTTGTCACAACGATGGTGGTCTGTTCATCATAGCTCAGTAATAAGCAGCCTTGGCCTATCTGCATAGAAATGAGGTATTTTTACATGTATCCCTTCGCCGCTCAGAGTGTTTCTTTATAGAAGGGTGGGGAAATGGGAGGAGAGCTAAAAGCCAGCACTGGGATGGGGGTGGGAGAAATACGAGCGAGGAAAGGGGACACTAGGAAATAAAAATCCCAAACAACTTTCTTTTGTTATTATGTGAATGTCAAGGACTGTGTACATTAGGCATGCCAAATGCTGTAACAATTAAAACATCATCATGTTCTTAAATAGAAAGGCATTTTATCTTTATTTTCTGCTAATTCAGCTTGAAACTCAATACGGTCTCAGCATTTGTTTTATCCCACAAGTAGTCTAGGAATTTCTATAATGAAATCAAAATATCTAAAATTATCTAGATCAGAGACGTAAGTTCCTATCCTAGTAAGCCAGCGAGCCCTTTCTCTGTGGCCTGACGGTACTCACAGTGGTGAAAAAAGTGACAGAGAAATTGAAGGCTGTTCGTACATCACCTTATTCACACTCTCATTGAAAACACACCTCCTACGGCAAAAAGCTATAAATCACTCCCTTAGAAGTGTTAGAGGAGGGCACACCGTCCCTGATACTGCGAGTCCCTCACAAGGTTATGCTCAGGAATGGAGGCGCTCTCGTGCGTGTTGCCCCCAGAACAGCATGTGTTACTAGCAACACATAAATCTCTTTGTGGTTTGTATCCTACGTGGATTTGAGAATTGTAAGATTTATGCATAAAAGCTCAGTTTTAGTAAACATTGTTGATTGATTTCCTGGATTAGAGAAAAAATGCTTTCAGATATGTGCCATCCAAAGTGGAAACATCCAAACTATATGACTATATAAATAAGAAAGTCGACCCAAATATCCGAGAACTACCAAACCATTGTTCAAATGCCCAAAAAAAAAGCCTCTTTCTTTTTTGCATATTACAATGTGCTTAATGGTAATTTTAATCGAAAACCAATTTTTTTTTTTTACTTCATTGAAGGGTAGGCTCTAATGACTGATTTATGTATGAGCCTCTATCTTTCGGATTGTCTTGTTACAATAATTTTAATGTTAACTTGATGGTGCTGTTTTGGTTTTTTAATCTTCATTAAGCAAATATCTCTGGCCTTTCTTATGGGGCTTTGAAAGCTGGGATGTGTAACTAAGATTCGGTTGCAGAAAAGCCTGCGCGTTTAAACCTCCTTGGCGGCCCTGTCAGGAGGCGGGGGGTGGGACGCAGTCTGTGGTTAACTCCTCTTCTGCACAGATTTCTCTCTAAAGCTGCGAGTGCAGGGGAAGGTCTGCAGGCCCACTTCACGAATGTTTGTATCCCTCTCTAGGAAGCTTTGGTCGAAAGTAGTTCTTTTGTAGTTTTTAATCAAATCATCTGAAATCCAATTGGAGTTGGATAGCAGCGTGGTTTAAAACTGTGCTGGTTTGCCTTTCAGGAGTTGGAAGTGCAGACTTCACGGACTGCGGGGAGGACTGCTGGGAAAAGAGACTGACACAGATCCCGGGGGTCACCGATCACATGAGGGAATTCGGGGACATCACTGACGTTTATGAAAGTGCCAAATATGGAAAGAGAATGAGACATGTGAGTGACAAGAAATAAATCAAAAAAGCAATTTTAAAAATGTCAATAATTTAGAGATTTTCAGGTTAGAAGATTTCTATTTGTTTAATCATTACATATGATTTCATGTCTTTTACATGCAGTATATTATGTACGTAGATTTTTAAAAATAATTTCAACCTTACAGAGAACTTGTAGAGCAATATAAAGAAGTTCCATATATCCCATATCCAAATTCACTAAGGGTTAGCACATTTTCCAAATATATGTTCTATCTCACACACATACATACATATATATATATATACATCAGTATATATTTTTGCTTTCTTCCTTTTTCATTTGTCTAATCAGTAAATATGATTTCCTATTTTTAAGTCGATGTCCAGGCACAAATTAGTGTTCTGGTTGGTTGAGAAACAAGACTAATTACTCTTATTTCAGAGAAATACTCACTTTTATCATTACATGGATGAAAAATTTAACGTATTGTATAAATATCCTAGAGTGTCTCTTGAAATTAGCTTCTCAAATTAAATAGTATAACATGCCTCCTGAACGTTGAGAGATCAGGCATGAGGGACCTATGAGGTTGGGAGACGAAAATGTTGACAGGCTCACCTCTCCAGTGCAAACCTGTCTTTGAGGTCTGGGTCATTTTTCAAGCTCTACATGGAGAAGCATGTTGACTGGCCACTGAAGGCTGAACTTTGGACCAGGGTCAGAAGCCACAGCGCAGGAAGCGACACCAGGCATTTGAAGCCTTCGGGGCTCTGTGGCTGCTGCCCCTACAGACTTCATCCCCAGGCCGCTGTGCCGGCCCGAGAGCCAGGCCAGCTCTCTGGGCTTCAGAAAGTCCTTGTGCCGAAGTCGCCCGCTCTCTTCTTACTCCTTCCCATCCTTTCCCCTCTCTATGTGTAGTTTTTGGACACATCAAATTATGGAACTGTTTCTAGTGGGCATCTGGAGAGAATGAACCTCAGATTAGTTTGGCCAAGCTGCTCACAGGGGGAAAACTGCATTAATAGAACGGCAAACAGAGGATGGCTTTCAAAAGGACACTGCCTTCTACCATTCTGCTGTTGAAAACTGGTAACTGATGTCCAGAATGTTCATCCTTCCCCATGTGAAGAGCAGCAATTTGTCCAAACATGCACGTTTTATTGTACGTCAGACAGCATTATGGGTACTCAATGCTCGGAGTGCGCGTTGTGCTCCTGGGAGTGTAATCACTGCTGGAACCCAACGGCCAGCAATTGATTTACAAACACATTAGGGTTTCCTCTGCCCGGGCCATGCTGCTTACATTTTTTTTTTAAAAAAAACTGCCTGAGGACTCCCTGGAACATTGTAAGCTGCCACGAGAGCCTCGTTCCCTTTTGCCCGGCTTTGCCAATACTACATCCACTTCTAGGTAGCCCCACGCCCAGCTCAGATGACTCCTCAAAACCAGGTACCCAAATGATTTGAAAACAATGTCCCTATACACTTTGGAATGTTGAGATTGAGCCCTGTTTCAGAGTAAATCATAACCACCCCTACCCCTACCCCCAGGGACTCTTACTAAGTAGTTAACTGCCACTCAGTTATCATTCAGCTCTCAGGATAAATTTCACGGGGTCAACAGAAAAGAGGCAAAACCCCAGACAAAGAGTATTGATGACTTTAATGTAAGTACAAGATCAAATCTAGTCTTATGGTTGTGGGATTTATACTCTTCCCTGGTGAACAGATCAAAGTTCTAACCAGTTGACTAAGAACATTCCTGGTCTATGAAGGAAATAAAGTATCTAGAATTTGAAAAAGAGAAGTAATCACAAAATGATCATACCATAAAGTACTTTTTCTTTTTTAGAGAAATTATGAAGCACAGTCTCTTTCATTGGACACTATTCTGAAGACAACATTTCATTCATACTTTTGGTGGGGTTAAAGGTAGTTTTTCCTGATTGCTGGTCTCTTTAAAATTTGCCTTAACTGGAAGCACCATTTTCCATTTTTGCTTAGTTTTTCTTAGTGACCTTTTGGCCAGTGACTGGCTTCAAGTTCAGTAATCTACAAAACAGCCTTACAGCATTGAGAAATCAATGAAACATCTGTTAAAAGTTAACAATGCAGTGCTAAGTTCAAGATATTCCTTGTTGTTGCCTTGTCAAAAAAAAGTTTGTACTTAACATTTATTTGACAAATACTTATTGAATACCTTGCTACGTGTTAGACATTGTGCTTGGTGCTAGGGCTAAGACAATCAGTAAAAACCAACCCCTGCCCTTAAGGAGCTTATACTTGGAAGCAGATAACAAAGTGAAGCTCTCAGTTGTTTTTTTCCTGCCATACTTTCTTATGATGCTCCTTTGGGGGGAGGATAAGCAATGCTACACTTTTAGACATGTGCCTGGCCAAAGACAAGTATTAAAGAAAATAAATAAGTATTCTGGGTAACTTTGACACAAAGGCTAATTAGTATATTAAGATCTGAGGTTTCTCCACTTGAAACTTGGTAGGGAAAAGAAAAAAGTTTAGTTGTGTGAAAGCTAAATTACAAGAAGAATGAGGCGGCTTCTTCAAATAGCAAGACCATCTAATTTATTTTATGTGCATGACCCAGGCACACAGATATGAATGAAGACCTCCAGTAGAATTGTGGTCTTCTTAGTAATGAAGCAGCTTCTAAGAATTACCGTAAGAACAGAGGGGTGGTAATTTTAACTCTCTGTAAAACACATGCTTTTATTATAAGGCAAGTCATCCTACTTCCTTTATTAATGTCATTCACATGTCCCCGTTTTGCTGGCACATATCAGGAAAAGAACGTGAGGACTTGGGGACTAACATGGGCCCTTCCTCATGCAAACCTTCA